CCGGGTCTCTTACGGGAGGGTTTATATGATAATGAATTAATTAGAATATGAATAGACGGCGTGCGTGGTAGCTCCCACTGATGCCGAAGTCACCGCTTTTCTAACTCAGCATTGTGCAGCATTGTACGGCGATGTGGCGGCTTTCTCGCAGAGGGAAAGACGCGAATATGAAAATAGTACTGCGAGTTCTTGCATCTGGCATTGTACGTCGTATTCAAACGTTCGCGCCAGGAAATTAGATTTTCTCTTCATTGTCGTTAGATTTCGTTATATGTCAGGCTCAAATTCGTATTCCCTTTGCATGCATTATCATTGTTAATATTTTTAAGAGATTGTTTTTCTCTCGGTAATATAAGTCATTACGTCGTAGGAGTATGATGAAAATAGTAACGCTTATTTTCTGGTTGAACTACACATCAGAGGCGAAGTACATTTAGTAGTATTCGTATATGTCCGGATGAGTACATTTCTATCAAGAAAACAGCATAGTATGCGTTGTGCCAGAGAATCAACACATGTAACTGTAGTGCCTCTAACCGGGAGATGCTAGGGTTCGATTCCCGACGATAGCGGATTTTCGATACAAGCTAGATAACTAGGTCAAATTCAGCCGCTATCTGGAGGGGAGAATTCTAGCGGCCACCAGCTCCAATCGAAGTATTGTGTGGATTCTGTGATCACTACCACCCAAGTACCGAAGTAGTACGCTAACAAATGGGCCATCTTCCTTTCCTCGCCCCCTTACGTACACACACGAACTACACTACCATTCATGACGTGAACATAGATATTATGACATCTGAGTCGGTGCTCCGCTGGCGACATCTGGAGAGAGGAACAGATTACCGCAGGAGCAGATTTTCTTTCTTCTTTTCTTTTCTGTTGTCTGCAATCGCCGACTGGCGGAGAATTCTACAGGCCGGCTGTTCTTTGGTTCGGTAGTTTTCCGTGGTTTCTCCGATCAACACCAGGCGAATGCCGGAGCAGTACCCTAAGAAACGGACCACGGATCGCGCGCGATCATTCCTACCTCTTCCTTGCCCTATTATCTCCTCTTACGCACACACTTACACTAACACGCACTACACAAGCTCACATGCCAGGAGACTGGTCGTGAGCTTAGGGCTTGTCCCGTCTGGGAGGTGCCCCGCTGGTGGGAGATACCTGGTTTGGGGAAAACCCCGCTAGCCGATGGTAGATCGGCGCAGGATCTCGACATACAGTGAGGGAAAGATCACCCCCATCTCCCGAGCAAAAACCAAGCACTATATTTACGGGACTAATGACCCTGACAGTGGGCGTGCCCGGAATCACTTAAACAATAATTCAATCCAAGTCATGGTCTGCTCAGCTCAGTGGTGCCGCAAACGCTCCCGGCGCGCGATCGCAGAAATTCGCCCCCGAGTTGCGTTGTCAAGGAGGGGGTGGACGTCACTCAGAAGAGAGGAATGGATTCGGGAAGGGACTGCGAGGCGATCCAACGCCTGCATCCATCGATTTCGCAGCGCTTGACGCAGGGACAACGCGGATTATCATTCGCTTTGGGCCTTGTATGGATCAATGTCCCCTAACGCGCAAGACGGCGCGAATAGAATTGAAAACCGATATAATGTTTACTGATTATAAGACCTCGCATAGTAACATTGAACTTCTAATACATATTTTTGCTGTAAACATCGTTAAAGTCAGATCACGATTGCAGTTTTAAAATTGCAGTGTGTCACGCGTGTGTAAAATGTTTTTTATAACTTGATTGGTACTCCACGAAATTTCGAAAATATTGTTGTAGGAAAATATATTTTTATTTAAATAAATAATACATTTTGCAAAAAAAATATTGTGAAAAAATATTACTTAAACAGGAAGAAGCGTAAAACGTTAAAAATAGTTTGTAGAAACACTGTCTTTCTTCGTGGATATTTGGGGTAGGAACGAATTAAAAATTTATTTTACATCAAAATCGTAATTCAAACATTTTACATTATTTTTGTTATATACCATATTCTTCATCTATACTCTTTGTTTGAGATAAAAACTGCTTGAATAAGTAATAAAAAGTGTTTTTCTACTCGCCAATTAATAATCAACAGTTTGAATAAGAAACACCAATGGATTTGTTGGTCCCAATTCGGAGTTTCTCCGCACTGGGAAGTTATTATCGGACCCACGATGCACGAGGCGTCTGCCTAACCCTTCTAAAGACACTCCGGTGCCCTCTCGTTTGTCATTTTTTTAAATTGCAGAATGAGGTGATTATACAACGCTTAGCTGTATGGCTTTTCAGTTGTTTGGGGGTGAGTATTATCCGACGAAAAATATACAAAGAGGGTGGCTAAAGCGACCTCCATTGTCCAGGTTCTACAAGATGCTCTTTACCTAGATTCAAATGAGATGCACCGGTAACTGAGAGTAGATTTTGGAAGAATGTATGAGGAACTTTGGTGATATATGTTAAGACGAATTCTATGGCTATGTTTTTGTGGAGATTTGCATTGCTTATATACTAAGCGGGGTTAACTGCAATTCTGAGAAACTTATTCTGGAATATTTTAATTTTGTTAATTGTTCTGTGGCGTTACCCCAGACTGGACAAGCGTACATGAGTATTGGGCGTAAAATGGCTTTTTAGATAAGGAGAGCAGAATAGAATTTTAATGTGGAGTCACTGTTAATTACTGGTCGAAGAATACCTAAGCGTCTGTTGGCTTCATTCACTTTCGAGGTGACGTGTTCTTTTCTTATCAGTCTGGTATTCATATAGGATGATAGTGGACGGGAGTGGTTGTGCTATTATTGTTTTTAATGGGAATGGAAAGGTCGAAAACCGGAGAGTGGAAACTTTTTATGACTTATTTGGATCTATCTTAATTTTCCATTTTCTATACAATGTTTCAATGATCGTGAGGTGTCCCTGAATTTTTTGTAGTGTTGAGACACAGATCTGAGGCAAAAATGACAGGATTATCTGCAAAAAGGGCAGTTTATATAGTAGAATGCGTTGGAATGTCTGAAATGTAAATATTAAAGGGCTTCAATGGTGGACCCTGTGGAACTCCTGCTGAACTTTCCGTGGTGAAGAGAGAGTTAAGCCCACTTGCACAATAAATGAATGATCAGTAATGAACTTTGATATGGTATTGATTAAATATTTCGATATGCCTAGTTTACTGAGATTGTAAATGACCCCTTAGTGCCAGATCTTATCGAAGCCTTGAGCGGCATATAGGAAGACTGCTATTAAATGACAGCCAGCATGAAATAGTTCATGAATATTTTCGGTTCGACGAAGTAATTGGTCTCTTGTGGACTGACTTTGGGAGAAACCAAATTGAAAAGAAGGAATAATATAATGATTTATAACTTTACGGAGCTTCTTTAATATTATTTTTCTAATATTTTTGACATAATGGGGATTAAACTAATGCGTCCGTAGTTAGTGGAGTTGGTAGGGTTTTTGTTGGGTTTTGGAATAGATAGTATTACAGAAAATACATTATAAAGTTTCCAAGTACTGGGGAAATATTCTGTCCTTAGCACCGGGTTGTACATATTGGTTAGAAATGATATGTCGCTTCTGGCGACATTTTTCAAAATAATGCAGTTGTCGCAATCATGATCTGGTGATTTTCTTGCCGGTAAGTTTTTCAAGGTAACATGTATTTCTTGGGGATTTTTGAAAGAAATCCGTTTGGGTGTGTCAAAATTAAGGGAGCTATTAAGTTCAATGATTTCATTGTGAACATTTTCCGAAATGTGAGTTTGAAAAGCGGAATTAAAGTAGCCAGCGTGAATTTCGCCTTTTCTGCCGATTTGAGCTGACAGATGACAATTTTTAAAACTGGAATGTCGGATTTTGTCCCTAGCAACCTTCGTATCACTTTCCATAATGTTGAGTCATGGGAATTTAGGCCAGCGACGTATTTTTTGTATTCCTCGAGGGGATATAATGCCAGTGTGCTCTGGACGAGTGGTTTTAAGTAATTATATTCTGATTTTAGGTGAGGTTTGGAATAAAATTACCCACCACTTTACAATCTTTGGCATAATGATTTTTTGTAGATGTGGCACAAATAATAATACGTGTGCAGTAGTTCTTTGTGTGATAGTAACCTTGACATCGCGCACATTGAATGGGGCCCTTTCGACGTTTCCGGTCTTCCACACACATAGACAAGTCTATTTGATTATAAATGTCTTTGCAATGGTTTTCTTTAATTAATAATACTGCAACAACAGGTATTGGCAGTCCTTTGTTGTGAAGCGTTTTCACTTGAACCACGGGATAATTTTGTTTTAGTTCATCTAGGATATCTCTTTCACATATTGATTGATGGACATCTTGTTTAACTATTGACAGTTTTTTGGATGTAGGATCTGCGTACGTGTGAGATTGTTTTTCATTTTCTTCATTTATAAGAATTTAATTTACAGTATGTAATGTTAACTTTAACGACTTTGTACTTTTACTTCGTATATTTACGTTCCGTGAAACATTGTTCAAATTTCAGACATACTGTAAATTCTTTCATATCAGTTACGACTATTAGAGGAACGTTAACTAGTGATTCTGTATCATTGCGATCAGCTAACCTTCCGAATCGATTTTGGATTGGCATTAAGTATACGTATTTATTTGCATTTTTTTTGGCAGGAATAGAAGAGTTTTCGGTATGTTCGAGTGATCCCTTTAAAGTTTGTTCATTTAATTGTTCATTAAAATTGGTTTTTACATTTTCTGTATTTGTGGTTAAAGTGAACTTGTGCAACGAGGAGTAGATACTACAGGATGTTACAACTTGCGACATTGCATCGTTACCCTGTGCTCGTGTTCCTCTGTCTTCCGAAATTTCATGCGTTGACGAGAGCATTTGGGGTTGAGATTGATGTAAGGCTGATGTAACCGCACATCATATGGGAAAGACGTGCTGGCTAGTTGGGATCAATCCATGCTTTCTTCGGGTGAGTCGTCAGTCAGGCTATTGCCGATACGAATGGATTCACCGATAAGTTGTGACGCTGAGTAAATTTCGTTATCGCCTGGGGCGATAACACTGGACACACTGAGTTTATGTGTTCTAACTGAAATAAGTTATAGTGCTTAATAATTGACGCACTAATGGGCCAACTAAGAGATCAGATGGCACATCAATTTCGTAGCACACTGCACTCGGACAGACGGTCGGCCACGGAACTGCGCAGCACATCTGAACGCGACTGCGGTTGATCGAAGAATGAGTTTCGCCTGTCTAATCAGTACTGTTGTTTGTAGTGTCTAGTCTGTACTCTTCCCTCCTTACCACAAGTCCCCCTCTCCCTGCGATAACTTTCGTCTCAGCTTCTCAGCAGAGCCGAGTTCGTCGCGGGCGCTCGCGCTCGTCTGACTGTCCTACGGACCGCGCGCGATGTTTCCTTCCTCCTCCTCCTCCTCCTCGTCCTCCTTGTCCAATCCTCACCCCTTATTTAGACACACTTACACTCACGTGTAATACCACACATGTCGGAAGAGCATTTAAGAATTTAGAAATTGTCTCGGTGGAGGTGGTCCCCCTGATTGAAGATACCTGGTTGTGGAAAACCCGGCACGACGACGTGTGGGTCGTCGCCGAATACCGCTATCTATAACGGGAAGGAAATCGCCACCTTTCGCGATAAAAAACGTTGTCTACACTTACAGGACTAATGACATTAGCAGTTGACGCGCCCGGAATCACTGAATCAATCGACAACACTTCTTGGTGGAGAATTCTATAGTTCGGTTACCGTGATCGGTATTTTGAAAGTTTTCCTGATGAATTTCAGGTGGATGACCGAGTACGAATAGTTCCCTTGGTCTGCGCGCGGTCATTTTTTTCCTATTCTTAGAGTCCGTTGATGCATCAATCTTCTAAGTCAAAGATATATGAGGTAATAATAATGTCATCCTTAGCTTGGGATTCTACATGAATTAACTTCTAAATTATGTCATTGCCTTTATTTCGGAGAAAATGCACGATTTTGAAATTGCTATCACGAGTTCTTTTTTTTGACGTAATGAAACGTTTGCACGCGGATGGGGAGTTATGGGTTCATTTTCGGGGCAGATTCCGTCAGATGACAGCTTCAAATTCCGTTTCCATTCCCAGGCACTTCCATTGTCAATGGTAATCTCATCAACGATGAAATGTGGCATATTAATCACACGTGGGAATATGCTGGGATAGTAGTGGCCTATCTCTTTGCGTGCATACGAAACAGAGGATTCAAGGCTTTTCCGAAAAGGGTCGATGAGATGTGGAGAGAATGAAAGGATATTAATGAACCGTTTTGTACCAGGAATTGATAAAAGACTCGATATTGGTTTACTTTTAAAGCAAAATTAATTATTATGAGGTAGAATTTCGTGACTAAGTGTTTTATGAAACAATCTCGAAACAAAAGGGAGATAACTGCGTAAGTTTCGTGCATAGGCACCGAGGCCCTTGTTCTCGACGAGTTAATAATAATAAAACAAGAGAGCTTGCCCGGAGCTTGTTTCTCATTAAGGGACCGAGAAGAGTGCATAGAGTAAAAATTCATGTTTGGAATAAAAAACTACTCTCCTATTAAGGGAGGCTATAACGTATTCATTGTGTGACGCGTCACTAGGGCCTCGTGGCTTCAGATGAGAAAAGATTCTCGGTAACCTTTTCATCCATGAGAAGCTCTGACATGATAATGAATATTTTTTGTGTTTGTTGTTTATTTTTAAGTAAGATAATTTTGTTCACATTAGAAACCTTACTGTCGGCATTCTATAGGAATATAATAAATTAAACTAGTATTCTACAGTTATCATTTCGAACAATGCGCTCATACTTTTAGAAATGTTGCCATATTTTTTTTAAATATTTGGACACGGGAATTTTCTATTTCCCCTTTCAAAGAAATATATTTTGTTCTCTACTAGTACAAATATTAGAATTGTAATACTAGAAACCTTATTGTCGGTATTCTATAGGAATATAATAAATTAAACTGGTATTCTACAGTTATCATTTCGAACAATGCGCTCATACTTTTAGAAATGTATATAATATTTTTTTTTAAATATTTGGAGACGGGAATTTTCTATTTCCCCTTTCAAACAAGTATATTTTCTTTTCTACTAGTACAAATATTAGAACTGTAAAGACGAACTCCTCCAGATTCTTTAGGTTTTGTGGAAATGTAATTTTTATTATTTTGTTTATCTTTTGCTTTTGTGTAATTTTGGTGAAATTGCTTTCATCACAATTTTATATTGAAGCCGATGGCTTATAAAGTTCCATTGAGTCCTGTTTAACTCGTATACAAAGCTTTCACCCGGCTATTTGTATAAATATTTGAACTAATTTTTAATTTGATTGTGCTTTTTGGATTTTAGTACATTATAATGGAATTTGAATCTTTGATGCGTTTTATTTAACAAGTACCATTTCCGAATTAAACATATCTTCAAACCATTGGATTTATTCACAATTCATGTTAGAAAAATATACTAACGTTCTACAAAACAATTGCGCACATTTAATGTTTGAATAAAGATGCACGGGCACCTTTTAGGGAAGAGTTAAAATACTAATATTACGCAACATGTTAATGAAACTCTGGAAGTTTACAACAACGTCGGTGGTTCAGTGCTTGGAGCACCATTCATGTATGCGAAGTTTAGAAGACAATGGGTTTGGATTCCACGTAAAACATGACAGTTTTACCCCGTAATTTAATTGTGGTTCGTTTCTCGAAGCTCGATGTATCTTGTCAAAACCAGTAACGTAGCCATAATTAATTATTAATTACCATCCTCTTCTACCCCTCATATACAGTCATTCGCATAGTGGAAGGTAATGGTATACTGCCAATGAGGTCATAAGAAGGAAACGAAAGGTGTTAAAAACACTAGTCACTTTCCTCTCTTACGCTGAGTGGTGAGTAAAAGTACCGCCTTATTCATCACCAAAATTACAGTAATAATACTACAACAATATTAACTATTAATATTAATACTAAGCCAGTACAATGCCTTTCCAGCAAAGGACTCCTGAAAGCCCATCTCAGGGATAGCTTCTAAGCAGCCTCTTCTGATGTTATGAGTTGGTAGTACCTGTTAATCTCAATCAAAATTATTGAACCTTCGTTAGTTATAAGTGAACATCAATATTGTATTTGCAAAAGTACTAATAATTAAACAATAATCATTAAAACTATACTAGCCTATATTATTATTTGTTTAGCCTTTCTAAACTGAATTCAGTTTATTTGCATACATTCAATCCTATTTAACTTGAAATTCACTTCTCATTTATTAATCAGTTTCATCATTCACAAATCGCTACTCTTTTTCTTCCACCATAATCTATCTTATGCTAGCCGTGTCGACTGTGCCTCTGTTTCACTGTATTTCTCTGCATCCTTGTATCTTCGGTCTTCCCACGCTCCTTCTTCCGACTCGCGGATCCTACGAATGTTAATAATAAAGTTTTTAATTAACAATATAAACATTTATTCTATTATTAATATCTTCATAAACATATTATTTTTCTAAATCATGAAAAAGCAAGATCTGGCAAGCGGCACCTAGATACTATTTATGCCGCGTATCTGTATTGATTAAAATACTTATACTGAAAACTTATAAACGCTTTTCCATGGCCGCATATCTTTTTCTTCCTTTTATGACGGCTATACAGCTTCTTCCACAATCTGTTTCATGTGTCATGTAACCAGATACTCATAAAATTAGCCACATTTGGATCTTTATCCGAATCAAATACAAGAACTGTCAATGAACAATTTATTTCAATATTAGTTCGAAGACGGGAGATTACTCGTAATTTCCCATATTATTTTCTAAAGAAATAGATTGCAAATACGTTTTCTTAAATATGCCACAACAGTCTTTCTAATCACGTTTTCTCATTTCATTCAGGTGTCCAATGCGTTTTATGACAATATTGAAGTGTGCAGAACTGGAGCTATTTCCTCTCATCGAAACGTGTCTGATGCTCTGCAACTCAAACCAGGAAGGTGAGTAAGCTCGTCACAACATTACATAGTAGCGTCCACGCATTGATGACGAGATACGGCAGTGCGCACCCAAATAATGAGATACGACCTCATTATTCTCTCTTGATTCGAAGTCCCCGGTTCCTTTACGACCGTCATTTCTCCGTCCTTTCCTATCTCCCACGATGTTTTGCGATGTGATCAGGAGGGTGGCTATAATAGAGGGCATAGGGCGATACACCAGGGGTTCGCAGAAGGGGAGTTTGAACTATATTTGACACTTGAATGTTTTACACTGTGATAATTTGATATTGCATCATACAAATGTTTAATGCAATTAAGACCAACTATTTTGTGTGAAAATGTCACACAGTGGATTTAAAATGAAAATATCTTTATACTGGAAATCAATTCCGAACGTTCGTGGAAAACTACAGGATAGAGCTATTCTTCGAATCTGCAATAGAATGTCCATAAATCTCACACTTTGGAGATTGCGGCATAATAAACATTGGAGATTGCGGCATAATAAAATCATTCAATACAACAAAAGGCCTAAAACATCGTACTGACGTACGTACAACATTAACTTCGGTTACATAAATTTTGGGCGTTGGGGGCAGAAAAGTTACGTGAAGTAGAGTAAAAATATCAGACGTAGATGCAGTAAGCATTTCCGTAATTTTTCTTAAAATTTGGAGTCCATAGTACTAAGTTCGTAATGCGAAACTCAGTGGACAATTATCATTCGTCTTTTTAAATAGATCTCTTGCATAAAAATGACCCGTTTTCAATATGTTGTGTATTTTTTATTTATTTCAAACCCCCGATTTTTTCCAACAACAACCACTTGAAAACAGCAAACGCTTGGTTATCTTCGGATACGTGGCTCAGTAACGGCCACTCGATACTCCTCCCCGTAAACACGTTTTGTCTCAACCCCAAATCTACCATTTCGTATTACATTATTGACAAGATTATCTCTCAATATTTTCCTATAGGATCTCAGGGAACGTGGAAATCCGGTTTTTTCTCTCAGAAGAATTTCACAATAACTGTACGAAACTAGTATATTCATACTTCTCGAATTACCAATGAAATATTGTTTCATTATTGTCTCTAAGCAAAAAATTCGTTGTCGTAGATGTCGTTCCTTTACAGCAACAAAGCCTACTGTCCATTTGACCACGTGCATCGACTTCTGTATTCCAAACCAGACTGACCAAATAATGATACACGACCTCATTGCTCGCCCCTTGCGCCGCCACCCCGTCGCGTTTACGACCGTCCTCTCCCGCCCCCCGAGCGAGGCAGTCGGATCACGATAGCAGCCCCGGGGGCGGGTCGAGGGCTTGCGTAAGCTCCGTGGTCGCTCCAGCTGCCCCCGAGGTAAGTCCGAGAAGACGTAGGTTAGGTTTTGCTCGGTTTATTACCGCCACCCTCTGGGGAGGGGGCGGAATGAGGGGAGCAGTTTACTGTCCCGATAGCAAAGTCGCCTCTCCGAACACGTTAGCTCTAGCCGAAGTTCCGCGGTTTATGACGCTACTGTGGATACTAGGAATAGGACAGGACGGTTTAATGGTTTTCGTAATACGTTACGTTATATTAAGTTAACGCAGCCAAACAGAGGAACTGGAAGCCAATTTTAACTGCTGGCTTCCGTTTAGATTTTACTGGCCACCATCCGTTAAGAACAATCAAAACAAACGAGTTGTATTTAAAGATGGCAGATGAATACTCTTAATCCACAAATAGGTATTTATGTATGACGTTTTCTGAATAGGTGATATTACGTAGATTACAGAACGACACAGGTTTGATATTACATGTAACGGACTTGGTTGTTAACATTCGAACGTTAAGGCATCCGTTCGAACTTCATCTACATCAGTTCGGCTAATGTTGTTAGTATCTATCAGATGACATCTGGCGCGAAGTTCAGTTGAACTCAGTTGAACATTAGTAAACTCTCAGCGATTAATACATTGCATATTCTGTTTTCACGTGTGATATTGTGTTCTTTATTTTTTTTTATTGTTTAACCCGTAAATTACATTCCTTCTGCAAAATAACGTTTAGTTTGAAATGCTTATTTTGGTGTAGAATATAACTATTTTTGAAGTTGCGAAATTTATTTTTTCGTATTAAAATGTTTTTGTTGAAACATTGGCATTGAGAAAGAACTATTTTAACGTGTATTGGAATACGCCACTAAAAATACAGTATTGAGATTTCGTACTGCGAGAAAAGAAAAAAGGTATAGAGGAAGACCTAAATGAAGCTGGCGGAAGATATTCAGAGTAATGGTGAAGGTAGAAGATTACAGATGGAAGATCAGAAATATCGAAAGGAGAGAATAGGTAGCGAGAACAGGTGACAGCTGTAAAAATACTCTCTATACTACTATTACAACTATATAAGACCACAAAAACTTACTACATAAATACACGTTTAACGTTTTAACCACTGAAGTGGTAGCATGCAAATTTTGCACGAATGCGGTCGAGAAAACAAAAGAAAAAGGGAGAGACCTACGAGTATTCTTCTTGCTTGAATTGCGACAATCTAGAATGTAGTGAATTGATATTAACAACGTAGTGCTTAATATTACATTGGAAAACTAGAAATCAACAAGTAATTCATATAAACTGGTACCTCACTTTTTCCGATCATCGTTCTGCATGAAGTTAAACTTAAAGGATCACTCGTTCTTCTATCTTCTTCGCCATTTCATCGATTACTTTCTTTTTTTTTACGATACTATTTTTCTTTCCCGTCCTCCGCCCCTTTTTTGTGGTAGCCGGTGATGATGGCCGACCCAAATGAATGATTAATTCCCTACAGTGTGGCCAAGAAAGTCTCGGATGCGAAGGTCACAATTCATCAGGAGGTAAACTTCGACGAACTTATTAGGTAACTGCCTGGCCCTGTTTTATAACTTGCTGAGCTCTAATGAAGTTTCTGCCAGTAATTGCGTTCGATTTTCCAAATTATTCTTAATTTTTCTTCTTCCCGGCTGCGATGAAGAAACTGGGATGATTTGAGTCGGCGTCGCTCGATATTTCAGCGGGGGAGGAAGCAGCGGCTGAGGAAAGCTTAAAAGCCGCGGGGTGGGGAGAGTTGCGTAATAAGGCACATTTGCATTCCAACGTCGCGTCCGCTGTTTCACGTCGCGACCGTAATATCATCGCCGTTGCGGGGGGTGGCTGTGAGGAGTGGCAGTGCCGGAGGAGGGATGGCGAGGGCGAAGGTGACAGCGGATGGGTGGGAGGGGCGCGGCCGTGAATGGCATCGGCGAGGGTGAGAGCGACAGCGGTGTGGGCGGGAGTCGGCAGCGGCGGGGTGGGTTGTGCAGGCGTGAGGGGAAGATGCAAGTTGGGTACGAGAGAAATAGGCAGCGAACGGGGAGGGAGTGTCCATCGATGCGTCATCGGCGAGTGGCGAGAGCGGACAACAGTATCGGGAGAGAATGGCAAGGGGGCGAGGGGAGTGGCAGGCGGGGGGGGGTTCGGGAGTTACAGTGGGTGGGCGAGTGGTAGGCGTGTAGGAGGAGGGAGTGATAGGCGGAAGGGGGCGGAGTGAGTGGGCGAGAGAATGGCAAGTCGTAGGTGGGATTCGCTGGTGGTACAAGAGAGTGACAGAGTCGGGGCGAAGTGGTAGGCTAGGGGGAGACGGCAGTGAAGGCGGGAGGGGGAGCGGGAGAAGGCATCGACGAGGGTGGGAGCGACAGTTAGCGTAGTACGAGGGTGAAGAACAGTAAGGTTGTGGCAGGTCGTGGGCAGGATTGGTAGCTGGGAAGGGAGCGGAGTGGCAAGCTTAAAGGGCGGAGGTGACTGGCGCAATGGCAGCAGTAGGGGGGCGTGAACGGCCGGCGGGATGGGGGGCGAGTGTGGGCAATCAAGCGTTTTGGCGGGTGCGGTAGCGGCGTGAACCGGAGTGAGCAGGCGGAGGGAGTTGGATGGTTGCGGATTGAAGAGGCTAGGGGCGAGATCATGTATGGTCATGGGGCTCAGCAAGAAACGGGGGCAGAAGAGGTGGCGGAGCGGGGCGGTACGTGAGGACTGGGCGAAAGCGACATATACAGGCGGGTGTGGGGCGGAGCGGCGACGGCACCGACGCGCGTAAAGCATTAAGAAGTCCATAACGTGGGCGAATTGGGCATCAACCCTGCCGGCGCGCCTACACTTTTTCCCTATCCTGGCGCCCTGGCCTTAGGATGCCTTGATTCTCCGCTGCTTGACCCTTCAGCTGTCGGCTGTTTTGCTGGCAAGGGCAACGTATGCCGCTCTAACTTGTGGGCATTGCAGAACATACTGCAGAATTTAAATTGTATTTGAAATGACATATTCTTTATGAATGCATATATTTCATTTATTTATTAATTGTATTACATGCCGTTCCCATCTTGGTAGGGCAATGACTCGTGGGTAAGCTAGGAAGTTACATTTCATTACCAATATTGATCACATAGCAGGAAGCGGGCAAACGAAGTTTTGCTCGTTTGAAAATCCACCAGTAGCCTTGTCACTTTTATAAAGGAACGGGTAGTGTGGCGTCATAGGGTGTAATGCGAACACGACGAAAGTGATTTGTAAAAAGTCGATTTAATTACAATCTAGACCGTAGTCTAGTTTTAACAACTACCCTGCTACAATAAACTAAATAAATTAGACCCTACAAGGCGAGAATAATTTTAACGAGACGGCAACACACCGCAGATG